AAAAAGAAGTATGGGTACAAGGAAGGAGCTGAGTGTATACAAGACTATGATTACCATGACTGCCGGTGGAATTTAGGCTGGGAAAGGAAAGTAAGACAGCAGGAGGATGAGGGACAGTGAAAAAATGCTAGATTCGAAAGACTGAAGGTCCCAACAGGCTCAAGGAATTAGTGGAGTAACAGAAATTGTGATATGAAAAGATAAGAGGTGGTACACAGAGGGGAAACTGTGTAATTGAGACTACGGAGGGATGGCAGTTTGGATAAAAACAAGGTCTAGAAATGAGCAGCGAGGTGGGACAGAGGGCAAAAATACAATGAAGAGGAATTCCAGGTCTGAAGACACCAGGGTACTGGAAGAATTATCCCCATGAATACTGAATATTGAAATCACCAAGAATTAGAACACGAGTAGTATGGAGTGAGTGCCAGTGAACTGAGACTACAATCTGTTAGGAGCCAGTTCCCCATGAGTCTGCCAGTTATGCACATCACGTGAGCAGAGGTGCAGGCTGTCATCACTGCAGACTGTCTTTGCAAGCAAGTTTGTATAAGCAAACAGCCCTGAAAAATAGAGTATCTCTCTGCAAAGCAAACGGTAGGTTTATCTACACCCACGGAAGATACGCTCTTCCTCCAGGACATGGGCAGACATGATTCATGTCCAATATAAAAGATTCCAGTTCCTCTCCTATAACTCAATCCACTGTGGGTACAGGTATCACCTGGCCCTCTTCAAGTCACCCTTGGGTGACTGTGGAAATTGGGACTTGGGGAACCAGTGTAGTAAGCAAATGCTGTTACTATGTCTACTGCTTGTGCTATTCGGAATAAGTCCTTTGATTCCAACCCAGAAGTCTCCTGTCTTCTGCCAGCATCCATGACACTGTGGTAGTTAATGTGCAAGCAGCTTGCAAGGAGGGTAGATCTCAGACCTTTGAAAGTTTTTGATAAAATCCCAATGAATAGGAGGTGGGGATGAGAGATTACTCAAACAGGGTGGGTAGAAGGTGGTACAGTTTAAAAATAAGAAATAAAGTTTGGAGGCACTTTAAAAGAGAGAATGGTCTGGAAAAAGCAATGAGAAGCGAACACCTCAAGGCTCAGCAATTATGAAGAAAGCAGGAAAACTGCTACTACTTGAGATGGTTATAGGTAGTGTCAGTAGGGAAGCCCGACTCAATTTAAAGCAAAAAAGTAAAGGCAATATTAACAAAGAGGATGAAGATAAAGAGGAATCTGCTTATGATTGACCTTGAGTTCCAGGGACATTATGAAAGATTTTTGGAAGGCAGGGAGGGGTGGGTTTGGGGATCAGATCTGGATGCACATGGTAAGAGATCCATGAATCCTGGACTTTTTGCATGACTTACATGAACAGGAAAAAAAGGCATGATGAAATTAGCTGTGATTAATCTTAATCAGATTAAATTTGCCAATGTGTTTAGTGTCTCCCTTGACCCTGTTCGACTCATCCAATATCTACTATGGAACAATTTATTTCTTACCAAACAGAACATCATTTTAGAAAATTTAGAAAATACAAGTTTTAAAATATATAAAGCCACAACTGTTATTAAGACAGTGTTAACTTACTTGAATTAGATCTAAAATGCCAAGTTCACTTTCTGAAGAATCCACACAGAAGACAAAATACAATGTTGCATAATGTCTATAAATCAGTTTGTTGTCAGATCCTCCAATTAACCTAAATGACAGAACAAAAATCGGAACGTTACAGCAATAAAATGAAACACATTTTCGTTACCTCAAGCAAACTGACAATTTGTTTAAAACCTTTCCTAAGATGTTTGGGCATAGCATTTAAAAGTGTAGCATTCAGGCACCTGGGTGGCTCAGTCAGTTAAGCGTCTGCCTTCGGCTCAGGTCATGATCCCGGGGTCCTGGGATCGAGCCCTCCATTGGGCTCCCTGATCAGCGGGGAGTCTGCTTCTCCCTCTGACCCTTCCCCCTCTCGTGCTTTCTCTCTCTCTCTCACTCTCTCTCAAATAAATAAATCTTTTTAAAAAAATAAATAAATAAAGGTATAGCATTCAAGTGAAGTTAGAGACTTAGTGAATTAACAGGGCTGTTTTCTTCAGAGATAACAAATAAAAGAAGCTGGTGCTTCATTTTAGTTCATTAATTCATTAAACTATCTACTGAGTACCTACCATTTGCCAGGTACTGATAGTGGGTAAGGAAGAGTAAACAAATAAATAAGAATGATCAGGGTAGAAGGCACTACATAGAGATTGAAAAAAGGATGCTGCTGTACTGATGGATTTGCTACCTAAGATGGGTTCTTGAGAGTGACATTTAGGCTGAGAGCTAATGATAAGGAGTTAGCCTAAGAAAAAATTGAGAGAAGAGCATTTCAGGCAAAGGTGCCAGCTAATAAAAAGGCCAGGTCATCAGGAACAAAATATGTATGTCCAAGGAAGAGAAAGAGGGTGCGTGGACAAGAAAAGATCAGTAAACAAACAGAAGTAGGCAGGAACCAGGTCACAGGGCATTTTTAAGTGCTTATTAGATTTAACTCCATAAGTCACAGTAAGTTATACAGCTTAAGACTGACTACCAGGGCACCTGGGTGGCTCAGTTGGTTAAGCGACTGCCTTCGGCTCAGGTCATGATCCTGGAGTCCCGGGAT